GGTCCTGGGATGGAGCCCTGTGTCGGGTTCCCTGCTCAGCAGGGAGTCTGCTTCTCCCTCTCCCTCTGCCCCCCCCCCCCCCCCCCCCCCCCCCCGCTCATGCTCTCTCAAAAAAAAAAAAAAAAAAAAAACCCAAAAAAAAAAAAAAAGGAAAGGACGTGTTTGATGTTTGTGGGCTTTTAACAGGGACACAGTTGCCCAGACACAGTCGGCTGAATATTTGTGGCGATATCAGTTTATAGACACAGCGCAAGCCCAACCAAAGTATTTGGCTTGATGATGCTTTGAGTGTACAAGACAAAAAGATGAAGGGGTCAAGTTTGTTTTTAAAGAAAAGAAACAAAAAAATAAGGACAGGTCAACTAAAAAGGAGAACTCAAAATTAAGATAGGGCTTGGTGCAGCGGAGCTGGCTAAATCTTTCCAGAGGTCTCAGAAAATCCAGGGCCTCAATCTGGGAAGAAACTGCTTACTGAGGCAGAACTGAGCAAGTGGAGACATATGGAATACATTTTTGAGCAAGGGCCACAAGTCAAATAATATAAACAAGTTCAAGAAACAGCAGTACATTTTAACAAAGAAAGTTGAGATCACAAGATGCAGCAATGAAGCTAATAAAAGGAACTGAGATAACCAGATAAGAGTGACCCTTGGGTCAAACTGTCCATTCGTGCCTAGGTATTTCTTTCTTTTTTTATCATGGCTTACCGTAGTTTGAAGTGTCTTCAAACGTATAAATGAGTCCCTTGGGCCTTAACAAGCTCTTGGTGTTACCTGAAGCTTCTGATTATGATTAGGACTGTTGCATTCATACAGCCCGGCTCTCCTAACATACTGTAAAATGGTCCCTGTGACCAAGTGGCAAATAGAGCATCACCATATGCAGCCATGTCTCCTGGTACCTCGTTTAGGATGTCAGGCAGCTAGGCAGACTGTGGCTAAGCAAGATAGGTACGTGAAAGGCTCTTACGACTCTGGCTATGGTGACAATATATAAAGGAAAGGGACGATTTAAAGATCACCACCTATCCCCCAAGCCATTACATTCCTAGCTCTCTGCCCAATTACATATTTGTTACATAAACAAGAGGCAGTGGTTGCCAATGTTTGCCCTCAAGTTGTTAGTCAGCTGCTGACCTCATAATCTGCACAGCTGCGGCCTCCCAATATGTTGTCATGAAACAGATTGTGATGTCTTAATTGATCACTTTCAGAGGTTACAATTGTCAAGTGAAACCAGTATGCTGATTCTTATTAGTTAAATTAAGGCTTGTTACAGCACAACCAGCTAATTCACTCAACGACTAGGAAATCCGATGCAAATTTGTAGATTAGAACACATCCGAGGCTCTTTGTATCTTTTTTCTTTTTGATTTTTTTTTTAATTTGTGGAGGCCATACCCAAAAATGCTTTTATTATACAGTGAAGCAACTTCTTGGAACAGAAAATGGAATGTAACCTCCCTGCACCATATGCATCTTGGTGATAAGTTGGAGTGTGCCATATGACACACACAGTTTAAATCAGGCATTGATTTGCATGACTCTAAGTGGGTTTGGAGGACTTAGCTAAGTGTAATGTATGTTAGGCCCTGCTGCAAATCGTCTGGCAGGAAGAATATTGTGTTCTTCCTTATTGCCCTGAAAAACTGTAGGCTCCTAGATGCATGAAGGTCTTAGATCACTATCCCATCCCAAGAGGCAGCCTCTTATGCCCCCATCTGGCCATCAATGAAGTCTTCACTATGGCACCAACCCACAGAACCCCATTTCCAAGTTCCCTAATATACTCACCCACTTTGAGCAGACCTATTCTAAACTGCTGTTCAGATTTCTTATTGTAGCAGGGGTGATGGACAGTCCCTTTGATAGCTGAGTTTTAAGACACTTCATAAATGGCGAGACCTCAGTGGCATATCCAATCCATGCCTGAGCCTATGTTGTTTCATGTCCAGCCCTGTTCAAACCTTACATGATTCTAACAGTTCAATGAATCTCTTTTTATATAGGAAAAAAAGAAACTTCATAAGCAGACCTTTGTGGACTTAACCAGTCAAGTTTTTTTCAAAATCCTTCATTTTGACATTAAACAAATGGAAACATTTGTCCACTTAGCATATTTCACAGGTGCACAATAAAAACTAAAAGAAGTAAAGTTAAATTAACCTAATAACTGCTAGCATCCAAAATACGGTGGGAAACACAAGGATGTTCATCAAAGCAATTTTATAAAGGAAAAAATTAGATAATAGCCAAATGCCCAGCAGTAGGCAAATAGGTACATTATGGTATGTCCACATAAGGAAATATTGTATCGGCATTAATGGTATCTCTAAGGAGGAGTGCCTGGGTGGCTCAGTTGGTTAAGCGTCCAACTCTTGGTTTCAGCTCAGGTCATGATCTCATGGGTCCTAGGATTGAGCCTCGCCTCGGTGCTCCACACTCAGTGGGGAGACTGCTTGAAGATTTTCTCCCTCTGCCCCTCCCCCCCAAAACAAATAAATAAATCTTTAAAAAATACATCTCTAAGGACTGTTTACTGGCATGGGAAAGTTTAATGGTGTGAAATAGTTGAAAAACCAAGATTGCCAAATTTTATAAATAGTATTTCTCAACCTAATATATCTAGAAGGGGGAAAATAACACAAAATATTGTTAACAGTTGTCAAGTGGTGGAAATATGAAGAGTTTTTATTCTTTTATTTATTTTTTTTCAAGTTTTCCACAATGAGCCCATATTACTTCAATAATCAGGAAAAAAAAGTGTTTTAAAGCAGTTTGAGTAGTTTTGTTGTAACATTAGCTACGGGGAGTCTGTGTTCAAAACATCTCTAATCTAACAGGTCTGAAAATGAGCTCATTCTCCTCTGCTGATCCTGCTCCTCCTAAAACCTTTGCCTTCTCATGTAAAGCCAGTTTTAGTCTTCCAGTTGTTTAGGCTAAAAATTGAAGTTATCTTTGATTCCTCCCTATCTTTCAGATCCCGCAGTCCATCTTACTGGTCAACCCAATAGGCTTTACCTTCAAAATATGTTCAGCGTGTGATCAGGATGTTGCTACCTCTTCTGCTATCCGACCTAGTCCAAGGCACTATCATCTCTTGCCATGATTGTGGCAATAGTCTGTTCTCCAAGTTTCTACCTGTTTCCTTTTTGTCAGTTTTCCACACCACAGCCAGGGCTGTTAAAATATAATGCAGATCAGCCACTTCCCTATTCAGAACATTCCGAAGGCTCCTGAATAAAAGAGCCTACAGGATGTCTCCCTGGTCATCTCTCTGACAACACACACACACAGAGACACACATACACATATCCTACCCTTCCTTGCTTTAATTTTCTCTATTTAGCACCTATCTTCATCTAACATATTATATACTATGCTGATTTATTAATTGCCTTTCTCCTCCCAGTGGAATGTAAGATCTATGAGGTCAGGGGATTTTGCTTAAAATTTTACAGCTGAATAATCTTCAATCCCTAGGACATAGCACATCATAGTTGCTCAATAACTACTTTGGATACTTACCATTGATAGGAAAGACATCTTGTTACAGTTGTGTGGTAATTATACAGGTGACTTTTCTGAGGTACTTTGCCTCTCAACCTAACCACCTAGACTGACCTGTTTGTATATTGATAGGTTTCTTCCGGATTGTGTTTCTCTTTCATTTAAATCAACATTTCTCAACGAATTTGGAAAAGTCTATGTCTTCCCTAATACTAAGTTCAGTGTTCAGGCTCCTGATAAATTATTTTAATTCAATTGCTCTCATTTCCTAACTTAATCACTATATACTGGGCTCCTATAGTAATCCCAGGACTTCTGGGGAGTGGGATTAAAATGAAAAAGACAGACATTGACTCTTACAGAGTTTACTATATCGTGGACAGACATAAATAAACAATAAAATACAACATAACTAATAAAATAAGGGCAGTACCCAGTGTGAGAAGAACCAATGACCAATAGGCACCATAAAAATACAGGATCAAATGTCAAATACAAAATGTGGAATCTAATAGAAGGAAGATGAGAAAGATATATATCAACAGAGTGCATTGCTCCTTTATCACTGTTTTAAAAGGTAGGGTGACTTTTCCTCACGTAGGAGCAAAGTGGCAAAAGGAATTTATTTGGTTTGCTTGGGAGGAAGGAATGCAAGGAATAATGGAAAGAGCAATGGGTTTAGAGTTAGAAGATCTAAATTTGAATCTACCACTGCAATTTGAATCTATCATCTACAAGTTCTAGAAGGTGGTGCTACCCTCTATGAGTCTCTGTTACGTCATTGGTTTAAAACAAGGAGGGTTAGACCAGCACTAGAGATGATTATCTCTTTTACATTCCTTCCCTGAGTTCTTAAAAGAAGCCTTTCCTTATCCATCTAAAATAGAAACACAAAGGCCAGTTAACATGGTGATACAGGGAATTTTTTAAGGGTTTTTGTAAAATATTTGCCAGCCTGAGACTTGTCTTAAATAGGTCTTGGTTCTGAACATCTTTTTCAGAACCTCATCATTTGCTGAATTTTTCATATTTTCATCAACTGCTACATAACTATTCATAAATATAAGTAAAATACAGAATTGATGCCTGGATATATTCCCTTTGCATTTCTTTTTTTAGCCACTGTCCTTATTAAAGAGATCAAATCTTCCCCTATTGCCTTATTTCATTTGAAATTATGGTTTTGAATAAAAAGTCATTATTTAGAATGAAAAACAAATGTCTATTTTTCCTTTTAATTTTAAACTGACACAAGGGGATAGAAATTAAAATTATTTCTTAACAATCTGTATTCACTTTTTAAATGGAAGCATGCCCCTAGCTTGATAACCTATGGTGGCTACTGTAGGATTGGCCCATATATTTCAGGAAATCCCACACTCGGCTATTATATACAATATCTGAATTTCGTTTTCTCAGAGGAACTTGTTTGGATAGCTGGAACTTACTCATTTACATATCTCTCCCCTGTCTCATTTCTCTGTTTTTCAGCCTCTGCAGCTGGACTGTAACCTTTGCGCCATAGTGTCAAACTCAGGTCAGATGGTTGGCCAGAAGGTGGGGAATGAGATAGATCAGTCGTCCTGCATCTGGAGAATGAACAATGCCCCCACCAAGGGCTATGAAGAAGATGTTGGCCGCATGACAATGATTAGAGTCGTGTCCCATACCAGCGTTCCTCTTTTGCTAAAAAACCCTGATTATTTTTTCAAGGAAGCAAATGCTACTATTTATGTCATTTGGGGCCCTTTCCGCAATATGAGGAAAGACGGCAATGGCATCGTTTACAACATGCTGAAAAAGACTGTTGACATCTACCCGAATGCCCAAATTTACGTGACCACCGAGAAGCGCATGAGTTACTGTGATGGCGTTTTTAAGAAGGAAACTGGGAAAGACAGGTGAGTCCTCTGAGAGGTGGCCTCATTGTCTTCTATGCTAGCTCCTTGCTGAGTTCTTTCTCCAGCTATCAAATGAACAGAGTTATTTTTCAAATTGATTGTTAGATGTTTTTTGACTATTATGATTACTTGATGAGCCAGCAACTAGGCCCCATTTATTCCACCTACACTACCTTCTGTTCTCTCCATTTTGATTGGCTTGAGGATCCAAAAAATACTGGATGCTTCCCCAAGATATCTTTAGATTTCTTCTTATTTAGCTCAATTTGCTATTGGTTAAATTGGATGTTAGCCAAAAGGAAGTACACACATTTCTGTTTCAAAACAGAAATGTTAAGGAACTTTAGGACATAAACTCCTTTGGAAGTTGTTATAAAAATTTACCTGAGACTACAAAACGCAGCAAGCTATTTATTCTCTAATAAGGTTGCATAGATTCTTGCATGCAAATAGACCCTATGATCGTGAGATACCATAACTTGGTATCTAACAGATATGTTGGTATATTCAGCAGAATACCATATTGAGATTATGCATTACTGAAAATCATTAACAGTGGATTCTTGAAGAGAAATGAGGTATAAATACCATTCACTCAATTATCCCAATTTGCATTTTTCATTACCTCGGTCTTTTTTTTCCCATAGCCTTCTGTAAACCACCCTTCCCACTTCCTTTTCTTGAAGCCTGCTCACCTTTTCTTCCTCCTACTCCTTATATCTCCTGTTTCCTCTCTCTGCTCCCTCTTACCCCCCTCATTCTGCCATATGACTCTACTGCCTACCACTTTTTCTTTCTTTTTAGAAAGATAAGCAGTATAAGGAAGAGAAGTAGAATTATTAGTTCATATTTCTAGTTCTAATAAAGAACTGTTGAAGGAAAATATTGAAACCAATTGCAAAAGTTTTAAGTTATGTGTGAATTGTACTTATTCATACCATACCATGGATAAATTGAGCATTGGCTGTAATTCCAATATTAACAATCTGATTTCCAATATAACAAACAAATGTATGTCTTTCACTCTTCAGTATTATCAAATCTAAATTTTTAACTACATTAGAGTATGTGCTTATGGGGGGAAGTTTCTCATATCTCTGGGTGTAATTTGTATGCTGATAATTATTTTAAAATCTTATCTGGCCTGATTCTCCTATTGATAAAGTAGGCTGAATATAGTATTTTCTACTTCTGAGCACCCAAAACGCACAACTTCTAATGAAATGCAAGACAGGAATCGCCATAATGCTGGCCCTTTTTTGTCAGAGTTCATAAGAAGAATCCCAATGGTTAGATTTGAATCAGTGTAGCTAAGCTGTCCAAAGACATAGGCATAAGAGATAAAGGAGTAGGTATGTAGCACAATTCTATATAAATATGACCATCTCAAGGGGTTTTGAAATTTTTGGTCTCTCATTAGCCCAGAGCAATGCAATTAATTAGATATATTTGGTATTTCATTAGTTGTAGTCAACCCTCCGGGTATCCCCCAGTCATAACTATATGCCCTAGAATCATTTGGGACCATCAGAGAAGAGCTCAGCATGCTCTATGCTCCCATGTATTTATATCATGGTGGCTTTTGCTGTGAGCTTTCAGTGAGACAGTACACTGTCACAGATGTGTGGATTGTATAGCGAGAATTGGGAGAGAATTGCTTTGGAAGATTCATTTTCCTCCTGGCTGTGATGAGGAAAGCTGTTTGTATAGTGGGAAAATCTTGCTTGATAAAATTAATTTGCAGGTATCATTCAATTGGTAAAGTTACCAAAATAAAAGTAGGAGGGAGAAAAACCAAATTGATTTTTTAATGCTTCCTTCTGTTTTCCTCACTGAGTCTATTCGTGTCTGGTTGCATCATGGAGTATTGCAATGAAATAGAAAAAGACAACTGTGCTAGTGTTTTAGAAATGAACAGAATGGATGGTTTTGGTAAAATCTGGTTGGATGACAAAAGGTTGACCAAATGGCCTCAAATGACCTGTTACCTGCTCTACGATTTAAATCTGTATCCTAACTTTAGCAGCATGAATTTTATTGTTTAAGGATTTCCCAAAGTGATCTGATGTTCATGGACAAATTTCAAACAAGAGTATTTTTGAACTTATTATGCAGGAAAATGTCAAAATAATAGAGACTAATGGTATAATGAACCTCTGTATACTCACTGTTCAGGTTGAATAATTATTAACTCATGGCCAATATTGTTTCATCTACATCCCTACATTTTCTCCCTCCCCATGTATTATTTTGAAGCAAATGCCAGACATCATATTATTTCATTCATTAACATTTCAGCATGTATCTCTAGAAGATAAAGAAACACAATGTCATTGTCCTACATAAAAACCAGCAATATTTCTTTAATAACATTATATAGTTTGTTTTAAAATTTCTCCAATAATCTTATTAATATTTTTAAAATTTAGCTTGAATTAGGATTAGCATTAAGATCCATACATTGCTCAATCAGGATTAGCATAAGGTCTGTACATTACAATTAATTGATATGTCTTCTATATTTCTCTTGACCTGTGCCTTCCCCCCTCTCTATTATTATTATTTTTTTTAAAAGATTTTATTTATTTATTTGACAGAGAGAGACACAGTGAGAGAGGAACACAAGCAGGGGGAGTGGAGGGGGGAGAGGCAGGCTTCCCGCCGAGCAGGGAGCCCGATGTGGGGCTCGATCCCAGAACGCTGGGATCATGACCTGAGCCGAAGGCAGGCGCTTAACGACTGAGCCACCCAGGCGCCCCATCCCCCCTCTCTATTATTGAAAAAAAAAAAAAAACCTAGTCATTTATCCAGTAGAGTATTCCACAATCTAATTTTTGCTAGTTGTACCACCATGATGTTTTTTGTTCATTGGTATTTCTATATTGAGGCTTTCTTTATTGGATTCAGGTCATATTGCTTCTTAGCAAGACCATTAGGTGGTACTTCTATCAGCAGGAATACTGTCTAGTTTTCTCTTTTAATGTTAGCAGTCATTAATGATCATTGTGTAAATCCAATAATTCATTAGATGTTGCAAAATGGTGATATTTCATCATTTTTTTCACTTATATTAGCTGAAACTTTATAAAGAGAAACTTGTCCTCATTAAACATTTTTTTAACCAGAGATAGAAGATAGTACCAATCCTTTTTCTTTATTAGTTCTAAGGCATCGGTTCCCTAGCATCCTCCAAAAGTGACCAGTAAGTTTATTATTATTAATATTTACATATTGACATATTTAACCATATTTGAAATATTTCAGTCCATGAGAATTATGTCTTTATGCTCAAAGTGTCCTATTTTGTACTATTGGACCCTCTTCAAATTAGTTTTGGAGTCCTTTTGACATGCCGTTAGTAATTTTGGATAGCTTCTTTGATTCCTGGTATTATAAGATGATTCAGGCTCTTCTTGTATATATTACGATGCAAACCTGGATCCAGACATTTCTCCAAAGAACTTTGGTCCTTTTAGTATTTACAAGAGCATAATCTTGGTGCTGCAGGTGCTCACTGCTACTAGGTTTGTCTTTGTTTCTTGGTCTTTTCATTGGACACAGCTAGTATAGAAATAATATATGCTGCATTTCTTGTTTAAAGATAAAATCATTATGTGTTCAAACTGAAATTTCCAATTCAGATTCAAGGCCACCGTGTTTTACCTCATGTGTCTTACATGTGTTTCTCCTTTTTTGCCATATTGGCAATCACAGGTCCTAGAGACACCAAAGTAATTACTCATCTGTTTTATCCCACAGCGTACACACAACAATCTTCGAATAAGAATGATACCACAGTGCACAGTATTATTACTGTCAGCATTTTAAGACTATTTAACCTCAAAAAAGCATTCATGTGGGTCCACACTCACAAAGTGTGTGTTGGTTTTATCCTCACAAAAGTTCTAAATATTTTTCCCCTGGGGCACCTGGGTGGCTCAGTTGGTTAAACGTCTGACCCTTGATTTCAGCTCAGATCATGATCTCAGGGTCATGAGCTCAAGCTCTGTGTGGGCCTCCATGCTCAGCAAGGAGCTGCTTTGGATTCTCTCTCCTCCTAATTCTCTCTGCCCCTCCCCCTGCTCATAAGCTCTCTCTCTTGCTCTCAAATAAATAAATAAATCTTTAAATAAATAAATAAATGTTTTTTTCTCCTAAGTAAATAGGAGTATGTCCAGTAGATATACCATTGCTGACATAAGGGAGTAAGGAAAAAGGGATGTCCATTTAATTTGACTTTTGTTGTAAAGCTACTTTGGTTGATTTGCCTGAACTTACTGGAACTTTTTAGCAAGAGCTCATTCTCATCATTAGGTTTTTAATGGAGAGGTTATGTCACCATTATGATGTATAATTTATAGAATAAAAAAAAATTGTGTCCCTAGTAGTTAAAATGAATCATGATAGGAAAATGACTACATGGAGTTTCTCAAAGAAAAAATTGGCTCTCCGCTTGCATCTTCTTCTAACTGTCAAAATCCTTTTAAAGAAGTATAAACCCCTCCCCCATGTAAGGGTGCGCACCTTTTTGTTTTTTCCAGTGCTTTTTATTTTTTGTCTTAAGAGATTCTTCATTGAGGAAACATGAAGTAGTAGAAGAAATATATGTAGTGTTAAATTTCCTAGAATGGGTTTAGATCAACTTATAGCATACTGGAATACTTTTTCAAACCAAATGAAATTTAATTTGCTTTCTTATCAGTTACCGACGAAAATTATTTGGCTTCTTAATTAGAAAGAGTGACCTTGTGGGAAAGGCTGAGAGAACAGAAAGAGAAGGCAGCTGTCCTTTCTTTCTTCATGCTCTGGGGCCCAGTTTTCTCTGGAATTCTAGGTCGTTGGGGCGGCGGTCACCTTTGTATTTTTCACTTAACCCACTATTTTTGTGGGAAACAACCTTCAACAAACCAGAAAACTTTGGAATTAAAGGTCTTATATTCAAAATAATCTGGACCAAAATGGATCTTTTTCCCCTCCTTTGAATGATTGGTATGCATAAATAAT